CCCAGCCCTCTCTTTTTTGCTTAATCTTTGTCACCTGGTCGTAGAATTCTATTAAGCCAGTCAGGCAAGATTTACCCTCCCTGGACCCATGTTGGCGATTTGTCACGAAGTCCCTTCTCTCCAGATGTGCTACCAGGTTTTTTCTCACGATCTTCTCCATCACCTTGCATGGTACACAAGTCAAGGACACTGGCTTGTAGTTCAGTGCCTCTTGCCTGTCGCCGTTTTTGTATATTGGGACCACATTCGCCGTCTTCCATATTTCTCATAGGTCTCCCATCTCCAGTGACCTACTATACACTATGGAGAGTGGCAAGCAAAATGCCTCTGCACACTCTTTCAGTACCCATGGCGAGATCCTGTCTGGACCAACAGCCTTTCTAACATCCAGTTCCAGCAGGTGTCTCTTGACCTCCACTCTCGTAATTTCGAACTCTTCCAAGGCCGCCTGGTTTACTTCCCTTTCTCCTAGCACAGTGACCTCACCTTGTTCTGATGTGAAGACCTCTTGGAACCTCTTGTTGAGTTCATCACACACCTCTTTGTCATTCTCTGTATACCTGTCCTCGCCTGTTCTAAGTTTCACTACCTGTTCTTTCACTGCTGTTTTCCTTCTGATGTGACTGTGGAGTAGCTTTGGTTCGGTCTTGGCTTTGTTTGCTATATCATTTTCATAACTTTTCTCTGCTTCTCTTCTCACCCTGACATACTCATTCCTGGTTCTCTGGTATCTCTCTCTGCTTTCTGGTGTTCTGTTATTCCGGAAGTTCCTCCACGCCCTTTTGTTCAGTTTCTTTGCTTCCATACATGCCCTATTATACCATGGATTCTTCTTTTGCTTCTCGGATTTTTCCTTTTGGGCCTGGATGTATCTGCTTACTGCTTCCTGACACTTTTGGGTGATATAGTCCATCACATCTTGTACAGACTTAGCTCTGAGGTCTGTGTCCCAAGGTATTTCCCTTAGGAAGCTTCTCATCTTTTCATAATTTTCCTTTCGGTGTGCCAGCTTTTTGTTTCCTAGTTCTTTTTCCGGGGGGGGGGGGGGGGGGGGGGGGGGGGGGGATAATTCCTAGCTCTACCAGGTACTCAAAGATCAATACACTGTGATCACTCATTCCCAAGGGTGCTTCCATCTTGACTTCCCTTATATCCCACTCATTTAGGGTAAATATCAGATCAAGCATTGCTGGTTCATCTTCTCTAATTCTTGTTGGATCCTTGATGTGCTGGCTTAGAAAGTTTCTTGTTGAAACGTCCAGCAGCTTAGCTCCATGTTTCTGGTCCTCCATGCGGGTCTCTGTTCTCCCAATCTATCTTCCCATGGTTGAAGTCTCCCGTGATTAGTAGTCCAGATCCATTCCTGCTAGCAACAGAAGCTGTTCTCTCTATTATGTTAATGATGGCCATATTGTTTCTATCATATTCCTATCTGGGTCTTCTATCATTTGGTGGTGGATTATATATGACTACGACTATAATTTTTTGCCCTCCAGTTGTTATTGTTCCTATTATGTAGTCACTGAAACCTTCACATCCCTGAACAACCAACTCCTCAAAATCCCAACCTTTTCTTACCAGCAGGGCTACACCACCACCACCTCTTCCTTCTCTCTCTTTCCTCATAACATAATAGTCCTGTGGAAACACTGCATTTGTTATGGTTTTCGTGATCTTTGTTTCTGTGAGAGCTATTATGTGTGGGTTTTCCTCTAGTACCCATTCTCCACGTTCATTTGCTTTATTTGTAATTCCATCTATGTTAGTGTACATTGCCTTGAGGCTCACTTTCTTCTGCCCCTTCTCAAATCTCCTCTTTGGTGAGTGTTCTGCTGGTGGAGGAAGCTGTGCCATGGGTGTGAGGATTTGTGAGGTGGATACCAGGGTTGCAGAGGATACTGGGATGAGGGGTGGGGGTCAAGTGAATGGGGATGGACAGGGAGGGTATAGGGGTGAAAGAGGCGGGAGGACAGGAAAGAAAGGGGGTTTTCTATGCAGAGGAGAGTGGTGGGGTTGCCCTCCCTGCTGATGTTACTGGGTAGCTGGTTGTGGGTTCCCCCCTCGCCTTTGGGGGTGATGTGTTGGGAGCTATGGTTTCCTGGTTTTCCCCTCTCGCCCTGCGCTTCTTCCTTTGCTTCTGCCGCCATGGCCCTCTCCTTCCTCGTCATATCCCTCTGGAGGAATGCTTTTTTGAATTCTCCCACATGTTGCAAGTGGCTTTTCTTTGTTAGAGTCGTGTCCTTTTTGTTCTCGTTTGCAAACACTATTTTTAACACATGGTCTCGGTCTTTTTTGTACCAGCCTAACCTGAAAACCTTCTCAATGCTATGCTCAGCCCCTTCCATGTCTAGTGCCTTCAGTATTTCATTCACTGCCGCTTTATCCTTATCATTCCACTCTTTCCTATTAGAGCCTTCCTGCTCTTTAATACCCACAGCTACCACTGATCTTTTTCTTTCAAGCAGCTGGCGAGTGGAGCGTGCCGCTTCCTGTGAGGTGGCTGTTTTCATGGCTACCTCAATTACTGCAGACATTACTTCAGAGTTGTTGTTTTTTTAGCATTTCTGCAAATGTTGCTTTTATTGTGGCATTCTCTTCCAAAATACTATTACCACCTTCTCAATGGGTGGTTTCTCAGTCTCAGCATCGATACTGTTCTCTTTGAGGGCTCTAATCTCCTCCTTTGCTGCTGTCAGCTCTCTTTTTAGGTTGCTTATTTCATTCTTCATTTCCTGCATCTCACTCTTGATGTCTTCCAGAAACTGGGCGAACATTTCCTTCATTTTGTCACCTGAACTTTTCCCTGTTCTCCTGTTGCCTCTGGCTGTCATGCTTGACCCTGTTCCTAGTTGTACTGTGATAGGACTTGTCAGAAGGGCAGAGCAGGGTGGGGGAGAGAGAGATAGAGAGAGGAGAGAGGGAGAGAGAGAGAGATAGAGAGAGAGAGAGGGAGAGAGAGAGAGAGAGAGAGAGAGAGAGAGAGAGAGAGAGAGAGAGAGAGAGAGAGAGAGAGAGAGATAAAGAGAGAGATAGAGAGACAGAGAGAGAGAGATAGAGAGACGAGAGGGGGAGAGAGAGAGATAAAGAGAGAGGGAGGGAGAGAGAGAGAGAGAGAGAGAGAGAGAGAGAGAGAGAGAGAGAGAGAGAGAGAGAGAGAGAGAGAGAGAGAGAGAGAGAGAGAGAGAGAGAGAGAGAGAGAGAGAGAGAGAGAGAGAGAGAGAGAGAGAGAGAGAGAGAGAGAGAGAGAGAGAGAGAGAGAGAGAGAGAGAGAGAGAGAGAGAGAGAGAGAGAGAGAGAGAGAGAGAGAGAGAGAGAGAGAGAGAGAGAGAGAGAGAGAGAGAGAGAGAGAGAGAGAGAGAGAGAGAGGAGAGAGAGAGAGAGAGAGGGGGAGAATATGTGTAAGGGGGATGCGGGGGGTGGGGGGGGCGGTGGTGGCGACCAGGTCACGTCAGGTCACATGGGGGGTAAGAGAGGTGGGGTATAGTGGGGTCTTGCCTCTTTCCACAAAAGGTGTTAATCCTTTTTTCCTTGACTGAATGTTTGTGTGTGTGTGTGTGTGCATTTTTGCGTGTGCGTGGATACGTATGTAGGCGTGCGTGCGTGCGTGTGTCACGAGTTCCTGTAAGCGTTAACTTCTATCCAAAATGAGCCACTTTGAGATTTTAAATATATATGCTATCCTGAACAAGAATTTGATAATACTTTACCTCGCACTGTACACCTGATTAATTGACCAGAGAAGGGTACATACCAGTCTGCCTTTCTGCTGACACAACTAGATGAGTAATGACGATGTATGGATGACGATGGTGCTCCGTCGTCGCCTCCCACTTGGTGATTCACTAAGTACTAGTAGATTGATGATGGCGGTTCTTCTCTATCTACACAAAGCTCTGGAGTCAGTCACTGTATCGTTGTGTTACAGTTCACTAATTTACTGTACCACTGATCACAGTCACCACCCAACAAACACAATCAGGCAGTTCCACGGCGGTTCGTCCCACGCTGGCCTTCAGGTCAGGTCGCTCCACCAGTCCTCCACACTGTATATGCACCGGTGATGCCACTAGCTCCACTTTGGTTTCTTCGCCAAATCTTCACACTATCGCTAGCGATATGACTATGCTATGTTGCACCCTGCTAGCTACACACTGCGAGAGGCCAAATACTATGATCTAGCCTCTATACTCCTTCAATGTCCCGAGAAATTTACGAATTTCTGCGGACCTCACTAATCGTGTGTCTCCTACTGTCGACGTTAACCGTTGTGTGTGTGTAGTGTACATTCCTCAACTTCTGGGTGTAGTCTTTTCAGCTGCAATAACATTTGGACTTATCTTCTAGCAGGTCGACGTTCAATCTCCGACTGTCCAAGGGGTTGAGCACCATTCGTTTCCTTCGTCATATTCCAAATTCATTCATATTCCTAATTCATCATTTCCTTTGCAAGTACTATGTAGTCGTTTTGGCTTAGTGCTCTCTCCTGGCAATTACCGTTACCTCTTCTCGCATTTGTCTCATCATACATATATACATACATACATACATACATACATACATACATACATACATACATACATACATACATACATACATACATACATACATACAAACAAACATACATACATACATACATACATACATACATACATACATACATACATACATACATACATACATACAAACATACATACATACATACATACATACATACATACATACATACATACATACATACATACATACATACATACATACTCCTATAGCGGTGCTTGAAGTTCGCCTTAACTAGATCTTGATGTCATTCCTGCGACCTGCTGGTCTCTCTCACACTGAATAATTCTTGCCTTGTGTCCTTGTGATCTTCACGTGTTCCACAGCTCACTACAAAACCAATGACACAACACGAGAACATTTTCTGGTAGCCACAGTCCACTGTTCTCACATATACTTCACAGCCGCGCTATGTGTGAACCGGATCTGACGCTTTACGTTGGATTTTATACATGGGGGGGGGGGGGGGGAGCCTCCAGGTGGTACATGGAGGGCTTCGGGTTGTACATGGAGGGCTCCGGGTTGTACATGGAGGGCTCCAGGTTGTACATGTAGGGCTCCAGGTTGTACATGGAAGGCTCCAGGTTGTACATGGAGGGCTCCGGGTTGTACTTGGAGGGCTCCTGGTTGTACATGGAGGGCTCTGGGTTGTACATGGAGGGCTCTGGGTTGTACATGCAGGACTCCGGGTTGTACATGGAGGGCTCCGGGTTGTACATGCAGGGCTTCGGGTTGTACATGCAGGGCTCCGGGTTGTACATGGAGGGCTCCGGGTTGTACATGCAGGGCTCCGGGTTGTACATGCAGGGCTCCGGGTTATACATGGAGGGCTCCGGGTTGTACATGCAGGGCTCCGGGTTGTACATGCAGGGCTCTGGGTTGTACATGGAGGGCTCCGGGTTGTACATGCAGGGCTCTGGGTTGTACATGCAGGGCTCCGGGTTGTACATGGAGGGCTCCGGGTTGTACATGCAGGGCTCCGGGTTGTATATGGAGGGCTCCGGGTTGTACATGCAGGGCTCCGGGTTGTACATGGAGGGCTCCGGGTTGTACATGCAGGGCTCCGGGTTGTACATGCAGGGCTCTGGGTTGTACATGGAGGGCTCCGGGTTGTACATGCAGGGCTCTGGGTTGTACATGCAGGGCTCCGGGTTGTACATGGAGGGCTCCGGGTTGTACATGCAGGGCTCCGGGTTGTACATGCAGGGCTCTGGGTTGTACATGCAGGGCTCCGGGTTGTACATGCAGGGCTCTGGGTTGTACATGGAGGGCTCCGGGTTGTACATGCAGGGCTCTGGGTTGTACATGCAGGGCTCCGGGTTGTACATGGAGGGCTCCGGGTTGTACATGCAGGGCTCCGGGTTGTACATGCAGGGCTCCGGGTTGTACATGGAGGGCTCCGGGTTGTACATGCAGGGCTCCGGGTTGTACATGCAGGGCTTCGGGTTGTACATGCAGGGCTCCGATTTGGGAAATTCGTCACTTGAAGTCGCGAGTGTCAGTGATTTATCTCCCGTCAGACCTGCATGTTTGGAACAATAGAGTATTGACAACGGTGATAAAGTTGAAATCTTTTGCCATGTGTAAATTGTGACACTTTTAGATTTGTTGGGTGATGAAAGAATATTTGTAAATCCATATTGGGAAAAAGCAATACTGCTTGTTCCCAATATTATATACTGCTAACATTTACTTGATTATATATAAAACAAAGTCTTCGAAAAGTTAGAGAGATTGTTTTGATCTTCTTAATATTCCCATAACGGTGTTGTCGCGGTGGTTGGGCCCTGTCCGAGCCCACAGTGTGGTGGGGCCCACCACCGCACTGTGGGTGTGGCTCCCGGGGGCCCACCACCGCACTATGGGTGTGGCTCCCGGGGCCCACCACCACACCATGGGTGTGGCTCCCGGGGCCCACCACCGCACCATGGGTGTGGCTCCCGGGGCCCACCACCGCACCATGGGTGTGGCTCCCGGGGCCCACCACCGCACCATGGGTGTGGCTCCCGGGGCCCACCACCGCACCATGGATGTGGCTCCCGGGGCCCACCACCACACCATGGGTGTGGCTCCCGGGGGCCACCACCGCACCATGGGTGTGGCTCCCGGGGCCCACCACCGCACTGTGGGTGTGGCTCCCGGGGGCCACCACCGCACTGTGGGTGTGGCTCCCGGGGCCCACCACCGCACTGTGGGTGTGGCTCCCGGGGGCCACCACCGCACTGTGGGTGTGGCTCCCGGGGCCCACCACCGCACCATGGGTGTGGCTCCCGGGGGCCCACCACCGCACTATGGGTGTGGCTCCCGGGGCCCACCACCGCACTATGGGTGTGGCTCCCGGGGGCCCACCACCGCACCATGGGTGTGGCTCCCGGGGGCCCACCACCGCACTATGGGTGTGGCTCCCGGGGCCCACCACCGCACTATGGGTGTGGCTCCCGGGGGCCCACCACCGCACTATGGGTGTGGCTCCCGGGGGCCCACCACCGCACCATGGGTGTGGCTCCCGGGGGCCCACCACCGCACCATGGGTGTGGCTCCCGGGGGCCCACCACCGCACCATGGGTGTGGCTCCCGGGGCCCACCACCGCACCATGGGTGTGGCTCCCGGGGGCCCACCACCGCACTATGGGTGTGGCTCCCGGGGCCCACCACCACACCATGGGTGTGGCTCCCGGGGGCCCACCACCGCACTATGGGTGTGGCTCCCGGGGCCCACCACCGCACCATGGGTGTGGCTCTCGGGGGCCCACCACCGCACTATGGGTGTGGCTCCCGGGGCCCACCACCGCACCATGGGTGTGGCTCCCGGGGCCCACCACCGCACCATGGGCGTGGCTCCCGGGGGCCACCACCGCACTGTGGGTGTGGCTCCCGGGGGCCCACCACCGCACTATGGGTGTGGCTCCCGGGGGCCCCCACCGCACTATGGGTGTGGCTCCCGGGGCCCACCACCGCACTGTGGGTGTGGCTCCCGGGGGCCACCACCGCACTATGGGTGTGGCTCCCGGGGCCCACCACCGCACCATGGGTGTGGCTCCCGGGGGCCACCACCGCACTGTGGGTGTGGCTCCCGGGGGCCCCCACCGCACTATGGGTGTGGCTCCCGGGGCCCACCACCGCACTGTGGGTGTGGCTCCCGGGGGCCCCCACCGCACTATGGGTGTGGCTCCCGGGGGCCACCACCGCACCATGGGTGTGGCTCCCGGGGTCCCCCACCGCACCATGGGTGTGGCTCCCGGGGTCCCCCACCGCACCATGGGTGTGGCTCCCGGGGTCCCCCACCGCACCATGGGTGTGGCTCCCGGGGTCCCCCACCGCACTATGGGTGTGGCTCCCGGGGCCCACCACCGCACTGTGGGTGTGGCTCCCGGGGGCCCCCACCGCACTATGGGTGTGGCTCCCGGGGGCCACCACCGCACCATGGGTGTGGCTCCCGGGGTCCCCCACCGCACCATGGGTGTGGCTCCTGGGGGCCACCACCGCACCATGGGTGTGGCTCCCGGGGGCCACCACCGCACCATGGGTGTGGCTCCCGGGGGCCACCACCGCACCATGGGTGATGATGTTCCTTACAGACTAACATCAGCCACAGATGGATCTGACCCTCTTATTTTGGTCTGGCTCCAGTATGAGTTTAAGAACTTGGATGACCATGAACTTTCATGAGGATATTATTTCCAGGGGGGGGGGGTCGACCCCATTTTTATACTCATTAGTTTAGTATTAGCCCATAACCCCTCACCCAGAAGATGCTGTCTGGAGGTATAGTAACTTATATGAAAGATCAGCTGAAGGAATCGTAATACATACGATTATGTATTCAAATATAAGATAAACTAATAACAGTAGAAATTCCTAAATCTTCACATGTGGCACACATTCATATATGTACCTGCTTACATACTTTACATAATAGTTATCACTTGAAGACTAACTATGCCACAGCAATAAGTTATACACTTAATAACTATTTTCTGTAGCATTAATTATAGCATAAATCAGCACCTGTCTGCTGGCATCACGTTATCAATACATGTTATGAAAAATTTAAATATTTAATCTTGGACGTGACAAAATATATCAAAACAACTAATGTCTTCTAACACATTTAATGACAATTGGGCCAACATGTGACTGCCAAAACAAAGCAAATCGTCGTCTCCAGCCCTAATTACATTACCAAAATTGTCTAGGATTACTTTACAGTCATGAGAAGAACATGGGTTATGACAAGACAAAACAATAAGGGTAACAGAGACCAAATGAGTAGAGGCTACACAGCCTAGTCCACCACACCTGAGCCTCATGGAACAACACACGCACTCTCACCTGAGCCTCATGGAACAACACACGCACTCTACATACTGGACAAAAAATATATATAATATAATGTAATTGTGGGATAATCCTAGCAGGCAGTTATTTGTTTTTATTTTTTGTGAATATTTAATTTGTATTTTTAATTACTTCAATATTGAATTATTATGATTCTAAGTGGACTGTATGTTAGATTCAGCCTGTCAGAATGTACCTGCACATAGTTTGAAGGGATGTGTACAGCTTATAACACAATGGGTGGTAATAATAATAATAATAATAATAATAATAATAAGCTATACACATTTACCTTTTGATAATATAAATAATACCACATATGATGGTATTTAAACTAAAATATTTAAGTTAATGCTATAGTCTACTGATTATTATAAAGGGAAATGTGAGACCTTAGCTGTATGGTTACTATGGCCCGATTAGGCTGTGTGACTACATCAAATTAGGGTGTGGCACATGTAGTCTAGTTGTACAGTGGCGGGTGGCACTCACGTGGCGTCTCTGGAGCAGCTAGGGTATGAAAGCGTCACAGATTATGTTGGCCAGCTCACCTTCCTCAGTATCTTCACATCACACATTTACCTGCCAAAGAATGGTTATTAGTAATGGCTCCATTAACATAAAGTACAGGTGTGACATGAAATATTTGTGTGTAAAGAGCTAGACTTACTTTGATTGGGCTCTAAGCCCTCTCATAACCGGCATGTTTAGATCTAAATTTAAAAGACCTCATAAAGCTAGACATAAAACAATTTGGTTACTCAGCTCTTCTCTTTATTGTAGAGGTCATTATGGCAGTTTCTAGGTTGGTTGACGCATATTTTGGAGTCTCTGACGAGTTGTGCATGTCGTGACTGCTCTGCCCCAGGCGTCTCCCTTGTTCCAACAATGTTTGGTTCCAATAATATTCTCTCAAAATTCTGATTTCAGTCCTAGTGAATACTATTTTATTAAGTTTAAACACTATACTGTAAACAAATCCACAGAGCAGTGACGAGGGTTCGAACCTACGTCCGAGAGCATTCCAGACGCTGCCTTAATCCACTCTAGTGTGATTTCTGTGTGTAACACTAGACTGAGTTTTAAAGAATAATTGTGAAAGTTTAAATATATACGTGATGTAAATAATAAAACCAAAAAGTACCTAATTTCTTCTACTGCAAAAAGTACTGCATTACTCCTTGTAATGTTCCTCATATTGTGCTTCAGTGAACCAATGTATAACCCTTAGATGTTTTCCTAATTGTACCTAGGATTCCTTGTTCATTATTGTGTATTGTTATTATTGTGTAATATTCTAATATGCTTTTGTGTCAAAAATTCATGCAATGTACCTGTAAACAGTTTTTGACAATTTTACTGTAATTATCCTACTCAAAATCATCTGTACTTGTAAAGTAAAGCTGTAAAGTACCTGTTAAACACTATTTATCAATTTTACTCTTATTTCTCTAAAACTTTCTGTTAGTTTAAGGATTTGCCCTAAGGTTAGTTTAAGGACTTGCCCGAAACACTATGCGTGCTAGTGGCTTTACAAGATTGTAATTTCAAATTAAACTCTATGTTCTCTCTTAACCCCCAATGTACCTTCTTGTATATATATAAATAAATAAATAAATAAATTATTTCAAGAAAATTCGGCTTGTTATGTATCTTGGCCTCTTAGGTAAAACACACACACCTCTACAGTTGAGAGGCGGGACCAAAGAGCCAGGGCTCAACCCCCCCCCCCCCCGCAAGCACAACTAGGTGAGTACACACACACATAATCTCCTCCATTCTAATCTCCCAAACTTCACCTGTTCCTTTGTTTTGATTCTCAATATATTATTCACTCCATCACTCACTCCTAATCTTCATTATCTCGCTCACAACCTCATTCCATGTAATCTCACTTCCCTTCTCATCTGCATTTCCGGTGACCCATCTCATCATCATTCTCCTCCCCTGGGTTCTCCCCATCTCCTCTCCCTCTCCCCCTGTCAGATCCCCTCACCTCTGCCTCTCCCCACCCAGCCCCCACCTCTCACCTCCCAACCAGGCCCGCTGGGAGAGTGCCATCGCATAATTAACACGGGAACTAGACGGCTAATGTGGTTATGTCGGACGCTCGGGG